AACTATCGCTTCGTCTGGAATTGCTGCGACATTATTACCAGGTGCAAACATTGCCAATTCAGCTCTTTAGCTGTCATTGAACATATAAAGGGCCATTCACATACAACTTTCCTCGCTTTGCTTGACAGTTCAAACTTTGACAACAAAGCGTGAAACGCAAAAGGTATGCTACAATAAACGCTTTGACAGCTTTTGCGTTCTCCTTTTCCTCCATATATTTTATTTGTAATATAGATAACAATATAATAATATACATTAATAATAGCCATAAAAATTCCAATTTATCCTATTTTTGTCATTAAAGGCAAATGCAAGCGCACGAGAAAAGATACATGTAGACAGCTGATTTCCAAAGCGGGCAAAAGTTGGGAGTTGCCCAAGATTTTGCTTCGTTTTGCTTTGCTTTACTTCAAACGTTTTTTATGTGAGCATATGCCTACATCGATCTTATATGTCAAAGCAAAGAACTATCAAGCAAAGCGAAGAAAGTTGTATGTGAATCAGCCTTAAATCATCGAAACTCCTACGTGCAATATTTCCAGAGCATCCGGCATGGAAAAAGTTTACCAAAAAATTAAATTCATTGTTTGGGATGAGTGCACCATGGCACATAAAAAATCGTTTGAGGCTTTTGATCCATTGTTGCGGGATTTGCGTGGAAACGTTCAACCATTCGGGAATGCACTGATAATGCTCGCAGGAGATTTTACGAAAACAGTGTCTGTAGTTTCTCGATTAACACGTGAGATAAATGCTTGCCTGAAATAGTCAACATTGCGTCCAAGACGAACATACATACACTGCAGCTGAAGTATTCGCGCGACAATAACTGGACATTGGGAACGCAAAGCTGCCAGTCAATGAGAGAATAAGACGAGTTTTATGGCCTGATAATTTTTGTAAATTAGAAACATCGAAAGGAGAACTGATCGAAAGAATGTTTCTTTATTAAGAAAATTAATTTTAGGAATCACGATTGGCTCAGTGAACGTACTATTCTTGCTGCGAAGAATAAGGAGGTCTATCAACTAAATAATAGTGGTATTGACAACAGTCGTTGCTTGATCTTTTACCAGACTGCCAGACCACTTGCTCACTTTGGTGAATACCACTAATGTTATTCAATCCAGCATTCAACGTGAGGAAATAGCATATACGTCGATAAACATCGTTGTGGGAAAAGACCATCCAACGACCCCACATACCGAAATTGAAAATAGGTGTGCCAATTATCATTTTGCGGAATATTAATCAGCGAAAACTCTGCAACGGAATACGACTCGCAGTTAAGAAATTGATGAAGAATATAATGTGAGCAAAGATTTTAACGTGGCCTTTCAAAGGTGAAGAATTCCCATGATTCCATTTAATGATGATGATTCAATTCCCAATTCGATTGACATTCCGAATCACAATCAATAATGCTCCAGGTCGAACTTTGGAAAAGTAAGGTTTAGATTTAGATGCGGATTGCTTCGCAGATGTTGCGTGTTCCTGTGTCGGCAAACCAGATATTCTTGATATCTATGCAGAGAATGGAAAAATAACAAATATGGTGTGCACACGAGTACTTATTACATAACCAAACACATATGAAACGTATGCTTTGTTTCGTTAATAATTTATCGTCCATATAACAGAAATATGTCACAGCAAAGCGTGGCAGGGTACAGCTAGTAGGTTTATGTTTTGAAGTTTGTCTACTTTATAAAATTTAAATTTTCAGAGCAACTACAACGCAAAAAGTAAATCCTTTTAATTTTTGTATCATGGTTATGTACATATAAAGATTTATGCCAAATTGTTGTTTGAAACTCAATAAATTTAAAAAAGAAAGCAAAACTGATTTTTTGTTCTTAGCTTTTTTTTTTAGCTCGAAAAAAAATAATTGCCTTTTTTTGGAGACAATCTAGCTTTATTCTTCAAAAAATTCTGGCAACACTGTCTGTACGTCATGCGGACTGCGCCCCGCGTGCGGATAGGCGGGAATGGAGGGTAAAAGCCGTTGGGATTATTCCCAGTGGGAAAATTTAATGTATAGTAATCGAAAAAATAACCAGTAAACCAGCCCTTTTCACATTCGAAAATGCATTTTTTCCCCACGGGGATGTCCTAGGAAAGTGGGGCATTCATTTTTGCATTACCAGTAATGCAGGAATGAATATGATTTAGTATGAATTTTTTCCGACTTTTTGGATACATTAGAATGCTGATTACATATTAAGCAGTAATGGAATGTAGAACTCATAAGAAATATATTGCATTATTTATCACGCATATAATGCATTACTACTTTTCCCTCTGGGTTATTATTATTATAAATCGTCTCAAACTTTTCGTTTTTGTCATCAATTTACCTTGCATAAGCGAAAGTAGGATAGGTAGATATTAATATTGACTTGTCAGTCAAAATTCGCACCCAAACTCGGCATCCTGAATATCCCAAGATAAAAATTATGGAGCGATATTTGTTAAAACAAAAAGGTAAGTAATTTTGGTTTCTAAATCGCAATTGACAAATTAAACTTCTATAAAATCAGTCTCCGACTAACACTCGAACCGAGCAGTTGTGTCCGTAATCTCTTTCTCGCTTAATTATCATTTTCGTATAGTGTTTATTTCACGTGCTTTTCATTTCTTCCATTTTCTTCTCAAGTAAGTTATTTTTCTGTGAATAATTTCTTGTTGGTGTACTGTGAAGTGAACCAATTATATGGATCAATCCCAAATACTTTATACCGCAATAACACCGTCAAATACAACACATCCAAAGCTGACTGGAATAAATTCCAAAACATTCTGCTTTCTAGTTACTTCCCTCCCTTTGAAATACATAACTTAAACAAAGTAGCTGCCAATATCCAAAAAAACTTTCGAGCAGCAGCAAATTCTTCCATCCCTCTCACCTCCGTTCGCGCTACGCAAAGAAAAGTTCCATGGTGGACAGCAGAGACCAATGCGTTGCGTAACAATAAAGTGTTAGCCTGGAGAAAATATCAAAAAACGC